GCGGCGGGGGCGGCCCGGCACGGCGGGTTCCCGGGGCTGGGCTGGCCGCCCCGTGTCCCGCTGTGGGGCTGGCCCAGCTATAGGGACCCATATTGTCCCCGTATCCTTCCCAGGGGCTGCCCCATAGCCTTCCTAGGGGGTTGCCCCAGCTACAGGGAGCTGTGCTGGCCCCACACCCTTCCCAGGGGCTGCCCCAGCTGTAGTGACCCGGACTGCACCCGTATTGCACCCGCCAGGCTGCCCCACATCCTACTTGTGGGGCTTCCCCCATCTGCAGGGACCCGGGGTGCACCCGTCTGCCACCCCCGGGCCACCCCCGGCCGTAGGGACCTGCATCGTGGCCGTGGGGCCACCCCCGGCTGTAGGGGCTCGGGGCTGCCCCTGCGTCCTCCCCAAAGATGGTTAAACACCCCTCTTCTACGGGGTGTTTAACACCCCATGAAAATGGGGAGAAAGCTCTGCCATGATTTCCGTGCCTGCTGCCGTGGATATTGTCACTTCCTTTATTCCACGGTATGGATTTCACTGCAGTGCCTGATCGGGCTTAGGCAGCAGTGTGGGTTATTTTTTAAAAACAATTCAGTAAAAAGATGTTTTTGATTTCTCTTAAGCAATATATCTGGGGGGAAGGGAGGATAGGAGATCCTCCAGCATCACATTCAGTCTTCTGAAGGTGTAGCTTTGTATGGATCAGGTGCTGCAGGATCCCTGTGTTATCAGTGAGCTTTGTGATGGACCAGGTTCATGGTAAACACGTGCAGGGAAGCCTGGCAGGTAGTAAAACCTCAGATGAACATCCTGCCCAAGCAACTACTGTTCTCGTTCAGGATTCAGAAAAATCAACTCTTTTTTTGCAGTGAGCAAGAGGCAGGAGAACACAGTTAGATACAAGATAGACCTCCCGCTTTCCTTGCAGCCTCCCACGGCTGCCAGCGGCTCTCTGCCTTGATCCAGCTCGGTTTGAGCTGATGTGCAGGTAGGGGTGACTGCATGTGTAAATTAACCACATGGGTGGGGAAACTAACTGCTGGTTGGGAAACAGAGAAATCATCTTAATTAAAAATCAGAATTTACGTCTTAGCTTTTCCCTAGAATCTTGTTTTGCAGGAGAAACAACTTCCAGAGTTCTCCCATTGTCAAAGAAAAATCATGGTTTTTCCTAGTGTACTAAAACAATGTGGACACTCAGTCTGATTGAAAGAAGTAAATTGCTGAATTATCACTGCCCCTCAACTGTGAGATTTATCATTCTTCACATCTTTTGAACATGCAAACTCATGGATAGAACAGGTGGAGATTAACTGGGTATTACTAATTGCTAATCACAAAGGCTGTCAGGGTAAAATTAGAAAGGGAATGTTTGTAGCAACCCAACCCCTCTTGCTTAGTGCTTCCAGTATTTGTTTTCAAGTTTTTGTGGGCAGAGCCTTGAAGCAGGTTTTTTCTTTGCTGGAACAAGCTGGTGGGGGTTTTTTTCTGATTTTTATTAGCAAAATACTACTGACCCAGAAGATGGGAATGCTAACATACACCTAGCACAGGCTAAATCCAATTAGTGTGTCTTGAGCTAAGAAGAAGCCAATTACTGTATGTGGCAATTCACTGTCATTGAAACTGGTTTCTGCTTGGTCTGTGACCTGTGAGGATAAGAGGGATTGATGCTGCCTCGGTCTGAGCCCTGCTCTACCAAAGGCTCCTGCACCCAGACGGATGCTCATGCGGGGACTGGCTGTCATGATGCCGCTTGTGAGGGATGCCCTGGGACGGGGCAGGGTGGTCTCAGCCTGGACAGCAAGTATTTTTTTGCTGAATGCATCTGGGATATCAAGATGGTCTTGTCTAGCCTGGACCTGGGGTTGCAGCTGGGACATAGAAGCTGCTGTTCCCAGAGAGTTCCTCAGCCTATGGAAAGACCACTTCAAGCTTTACATTAAGTCAGGCTGGTCTAGTTAAGTTTGGGCTGCCTGTGACTGCAGTTATCTTGGTCTAAACATACAGTCCCACCAGCTGGCTGTACAAACTTCAATATGAAGGTGTTTGCATTCACCAGTCTAGAGATTGGAATCTCTGGAAAATAGGGGAGTCAAGAGCAGAGGAGGTGTAAGGCGCTAGAAGAATTATAGGCAGTAGCTCCATCTCTGTTGTGGCCTCACCAAGCTTGGATATTTTTAAAGCTCACCTGCAAGGTCCCAGTAACCTCACCTCAGAAGCTGGCTCTGCTCTAAGCAAAAGGTTTGACAAGGGAGCTCCAGATGTCCCCTCCTCTGAGGTTTTTCCTCTTATTCTAAATTAAGTTAAGCTGTAGGTAATGTGTTATCAGCACCTTATCCCATATATGCAACAAGCAGAAACTTCTATGGATTCCCAGTAATGCTGTATCTCCACACCCACAGGTTGTGTCTCAGCAGCAGGTGCCCGAGATGCTGATGTGATGCTCACTGCTGCTGGCTGTAGTGGGAGCCGTGCTTGTCCACAGGGCTATGGGGAAACTGCAGAGTAAAATCAGCTTCAGCACCTCCAAATATAGGTAAAACAACCCCAGATGATCATGTCTTAAGTTAATAAACCAGCTATGGGAGTGAATAGAGAACAGCACATGAATATAGCAAGCACGTGGTTTTAGTTTCATTATTGAATGTATTAGTCAGATTTTCATTTTCGACCCTCGCTTCTAAAGTCTGCTCAGCTTTTTCAGGGGACTGAAATTCAAAATGTAGCCGAGCATGTAAATGTGTCTGGTGGTCGTGCTCTGTGATGGCTAAGGCAGAGCTCTGAAGGCTAACAGCTCCAGGGGCGGCTGTTTGGCCCAAATATCCAAACCGCTTCATTGTCTCTTCAGAGACTGTCATCAGCTTTCATCAGCAAGATGAAATAATTTGGTATCTGGCAGCAAGGTGGGAGATCAGCTGAGAGCAGAGGGTGGCAGCAGGGGGGACTCGACATGCTTGGCAAGGCTGGTGTCAGAGCAAAGGAGAGCAGCAGAGCCTGAAAGGTGTTAGTGGAAGTGGGGGCTGGTAAGATCAACATTTCTTTTCTTCTTTGCACCAGTGTGCAGTGAATAAACAGCTAAATATTTAGCAGCTCTAGAGGTGGAATAGGTTGACTGTCTCATCTAGTCCAGGAGATGCATTTGTCCATGTACAGCTTCTCTTTGGCTTTCTAAAGGCAGACGTTGTCACTCTCCAGACCAGCCAGTGGTGCGATCTCCCAGACCTCGGTCTCATTGGGGAACAGCACCCTGACTTTGCCTTACAGCGCCCTGCAGCTCCCGCCGCTGTCTCTCTGCCTGCTGCAGGGCCGATAGCTCCGTGGAAGGGACAGGACCTGTTCAAGCCATTCAGCAACACGGCCCCACGCACACTGATGCCGTCACTTCTGTGGCTGCTCTCAAACCAGACCTCTGTGTGTCAGGAGGAAGGGATAAGGTGAGGTACCCCCTGCCACGGGGCACAAAGGACAGTCACAGGCAGGAAAACGTATTGACAGGTTAGGAAAATAAGGTTTAAATGTGAGTTTTAAACATTTCTGTGATTGGTAACAACTTTGTCAGTTCCTGAATTTAGAAAGAGGAGCTTAGAGTGAGAGCACACATTGAAGCACACTGAATCAAATTTTATAACCTTCTCCAGAGCTCAGATCACATCAAACGCTCTCACCCAGGTTTGGAGTCACTGGACTGGCCCTTCTCTTATGTTACCTGGCAATAGACCTGGGGTCTATAGACAGTTGCATATACTGTAGGAGCTCAAAACCAGAAGAACCCATTCCCTCTCCGAGCTTGGACTGTGCATGGGTCTCAGTAAAACATATGCAAGAAAGTGCGTAATCCTCCTTCAGTAGCTGCCACTGCTGATTGCCTCTCCATGCTCCTCTGCAGAGTGTGGCTGTTTGCTGCTGGAGATCCGGGGCTGTGCTGCGGCGGTTCATCGGGCACAAGCGGGAGGTCACCAAGGTGAGCACAAACTGATTGAGTGAGGTGGGGTCTTGTGCACTGCTACCTGTCAGAAGCTGGGGAACCAGTAATGATGGAGCGATGGTTTGTCACCCACAGAGGGCTCGCTTTGCTCCGTCAGAAGGAGGGACCAGAATGCCTTAGGTTTTTCCCAAGGTCCCAACTGATACTTTACTGTCCAGGGAAGCAGCACAGAGTGGTTGCATCCAGACTAAACAGGGCTCCAGGAGGCTTGGACATGTGCTTATTTTCCCCTCCAAGAGACTGTGTAGCAAAAACTCAGGATGAATTACTAGGTTAAGTTCTTGATTCAGAGATGCTGTTCACTTTTCTTCAGGTCTCATTCCGGTAGTCTCGTCATTATTCTACAAATCAGCCATGCCTGGGAACAGCGGGGCTTTAATTTTCCTTCTGGCATCCTGATTATAAAGCCAAAACCACTATTTGGAGAGCAAACGTGCAGGGGTGTATACATGCGTGCGTGGCCGGTGTACCTCTGGCGGGGGACAGCCCCAGTGGGTCCCCTGTGCTGTGGGTATTGGGGGGACAAAGGGGGCTTGGTTAATCCTGATGCTCAAAGCAACTGTGCACTGGGCTCTTTGGGGTTTTTATGGAAGTTTGTCCCACAAAATTAATAGTTTCTGAGAACAAGATCCAAGAACACCCATCCACCATCCAGCTCTGTGGTTCTGAGAGGACATGGGTCCTGCTAGCAGGTCACACACTGTAGGTGCCTGACATTCCCCACCATGACATGCACGGCCACAATACAGGCTGCAGCAATCGCACTCAGGCTGAGCAGTTTTTCCCAGTTCCGCTGCATCGGGGTTTGCCTGTGGCCAGGATCCGGCAGAGCAGAGGTGAGCAGGAGTCACAGCGTGAGCGTCAGGCAATCCGGCATGTGCATATGCAGCATGGACAAAACAGAGTTTGAAGGTCAGGCTCTCCCCAGTCACGTTTCTGCACATCTTGGGCTTTGACACGACAGCAGGAGTGTTGTGCTCTCCCTGCGCACAGCTGGGCTGGGTGAGGAGGCTAACCGGCTTCTCCCATCTTGTCCTTGGCAGGTCACCTCTGCCCTTGACTCAAACAGAGTCTTCAGTGCATCCCGGGACAAGACGGTGATGATGTGGGAGCTTCATGGGACTTCAGGGCCAAGCCAGCACTTCCCAGGACATGACCTGGTTGTTACTGGACTGGCTGTGAGCCCAGGTGAGGGACAACATGCTCCCATTCCCCAGGGATTTCCTGATGACTTTTCATGACTTTTTTTATGTTAACTTGTGGTTGCAGATGGCTCCCAGCTGTGCACGGGTTCACGAGACAACACCGTGTGCAAGTGGGACACAGAGACCGGAGAGTGTCTGGGCAGAACTGCTATCTCCAGGAATCTGGTAGGAGCCGGTGGTTCCTTGCATCCTATCATGGCATCTCGCTGCCTACTCGGTTATTTCGCACATGAAGCCGTGTAGAGTGAATTTGCGCTGAGCTTGGTGCTACAGGAAGCCCTTGAGGCACTGCACAGGTTGCCTATGCACCTGGGGAGACCAAAGCTTGAGGCTGGTTACTCCTTCCTCCAGGTAACAACAAATCCAGGAGCACAAAGATATCAAGAGACATACGGCAAGTTACTAATGCTCTAACTCAGAGCTGTTAGGAAGCACATTGTGCAGTGGGGGCATTCCCTTCTGTACCAGCCCAGCAGTGGAGCTGGTATGGATACCATCTTCTGGTGCCCATGGCAACCCTGTTCCCATGGCTCTGTGTCCTGTTGGCACCTCCTTGCCTGCAAATAACCCCCAGTAACCACCTGGTAGGGGAGCAGCACTGGTGGGAAGCAGAAGAAGCTTAATCCAGTGTTTCCTGCTCACAACCCAGCACGAGTGTTGTCCCTCAAACAGGGTTCGTCTACCCAGTATGCAAGCCAATAAGACAGAGTTGAGGTATTTTTAAATTAATTTCATTGATCCACGTGAATGGGTGCCCATCTCAAGACAGCACACCTTTGTCTCAAAAATTCCCACTTTTATGTACTTAAGTAATACATATTATTATTTCCCTGAATTATTGGTTCTTTCTTCTTCGTCTCTCATGTAAATTAGTGCGCAGACTCTATCTTCTTCCTTCATTGTCTTCTTTTGAGTAGGTGGTATCATTTGAGTAGATGGTCAATGAGTCAGTGGTCGTGCTCTCGCCCTGTAGGAATTACCTTTTACCTACTTCTTCCATAATCTTGGCAGTTCCAAGTGGTTCTTCAAGGTTTGTTGATCAGACCTCAATCTATTATCTTTTCTGACATAAACATTCTACCTATCTACAAAGCCCCATTGTCTAATAGTTTATTCCTAAACCCTAAATCATGTCTAGTTATTGTTTCCCTACTTTAAATATTAACTGATGGGGGAGGGGCTGTACACAGGACTTTAACAGCTCCCTGGTTATTTCAATCATATTATACATATTAATTGATAACATGAGGAGGGAGAGTATGGGAGCTCCGTGGCTGCGTATCTGCAGGTGGACACCAGCCTGGGCTGCACGCAGAGGTGGGCTTCTGCTCATCCTTTCCTCTCCACAGGTCACACATCTGTGCTGGGTTCCTGGGGAGCCTTACGTCATCCAGACCTCAGAGGATAAAACAATCAGGTAAATTCTATGTGTGGCCACAGAGAAGGGAGTTACAGCTTTGGGCATGTGAGGATTATGGAAGAGGCCAGTGCACAAGGGACTGTTCCTTTGGTTGGTTGTCATGACCGCCTGGTCTCCCGTACCCCACTGGGGTGGCTAGAAGCCACCTTCCAGCTCACCTGGGTCTGGGAGCGTGGTTTCTTGCCAGGGGAGGACAGTATGGGGACACCCATGGCTGTAAGCAGCACTGGGTGGTGACTGCAGGTAAAAAGGATAATTTATAAAAAAGAAAGCACAGCTGCTCTGGCTAGAGGTTGATCCACAACAGATAAATGCAAGGATGCAGTGAGAGCTTTGGGAATTTGGCTTGCTGGTGGGAAGGAGGGGAACTGCCCCATGAGGGATGGCAGCAAGGGCAAAGCGTGAGGGTGCAGCGAGGGTGTGCGGGAGGGAATGGACGGAAGCCCATCATGGCAATGAAGCATCAGAGTCCCCCTTCCCCACTCCTTTTCCTTCCAGGATCTGGGACAGCCGGGAGCTGCAGGTGGCACACACGTTTCCAGCCAAGCGGCACATTCAGACGTGCTGTGACGTGAGCCAGGACGGGCGGTACTGCCTCAGCAGCAGCAGCGGCTCCGCTGGGGAGGGGGGCGAGGCGACCGTGAGTTTGCTGGGCAGCAATTCCTGCTTTTTCTGGGTTTTTTTCTCCAGTTTTCACAGCATGGGGCGGCAGGCAGCAGATCAGTGTTCCAAGGATCTGCTTGCTCCCACTGAGTTGGCCTTATGCTGGTGTTCCCCAGCCAGGGCCAGAGCTTAGTGTCTTCCTGCCTGTCCCTTTGGTAAGTCTTCTACTCAGAGAATATCTGAGCAGATATTCTTCCCAATTAAAGCACTGGGATTTTGTTTCAGTAACGGCATCCAGGAGCACAAAGTTCTTGCAGAAAGCCTGTAAAGGACCCCTTGCTCAAGGTGTTTCCAAACCAGGGATTCAGTCCTGCAGGTTCTCAGCCCTGTGTGTGAGCATCAAGAGGATGAGACCATCCCATCCTAGGGAGAGCAGGGCTGAGGACGGGAGCAGGCTGGAGCCATCATTATCTGCCCGCACAGTCTTAGCCCATCAGCTCTAATAGGTGTGGGCATGTGCTGAAATAGTCACAGATGGTGAAAATCCTTTGGTGTTTGAAGTTCTCCAGGACTGCGAGCACAAGCAGGGGACAAAGGCAGTAGAAATTGTACTCTGAGGATTGGTGAGGAGCTCTTTATCCAAACCCATCTTCCTTTCTTTGTAAAACAGCTCCGTGTTGGCGAGTGACAGTAACAGAGCCTGAGCTTTAAATGCTGCCTGTTGCCTTGCAGCTGTGGGACCTACGGCAGACAAGGAACCAAGTGTGCGAGTACAAAGGGCATTTCCAGACCACGACCTCGTGCGTTTTCCTTCCATGGGACCCAGCTCTCACCCCCAGGATTGCCACATCCTCCTATGACAGCACAGTGAAGGTCTGGGACCAAGAAACTAGAGGTAGGGAAGGGTCCTGCCCACTCAGCGTGCTTTACCCTGGGATAACAAAACTGCTTCCTTTGTTTTTGTCTCCCAGTGGTAATGGGCACAATGAAGCCTGAAATGTCTGGGGTTTACTCTAATCCAGCTGCACGGCAGGGTGGAGATATGCCCCAGATCAAACTCAGGGGCTTCTGCTTGCTCTCCAGCGGAGGGTGTTTGGATGCGTAACTTGGAGGTGATGGGTGTCCTTCCTAAACTAAAAGGAAGTAATGACAAGATGGTTTTTAAAGATATGTCCAAGTTCAGCAATGAAAGGACAAATGATAAAAATAAAAAAGAACAGAGGAACTCCAGGGCTTTCCGCAGATACAAGTGGAAAGTTTTAAAGAATAGAAGTTGTGCTGGAGGATAGAGGGCTGGTCAGCAGCTGCCCTCACTTTGATCATCTCTTGAAAGGGAATCGTGGGCATTTTGGGGTTAACCCCGCTTGCCGGAGTACTTGGTGAAGGCTGAGTCCTCACCTAGCTGGACACAAAGGCTATTTACCTGCCAAGCCCTGCCAGAGCAGCAGGCTTGTTAGTAATGCCTTCTGCAGAAGGCAAAGACCTCTTGGGAAGCAGTTCAGGTTCACAGATGGGCACCAAAAGCAGTAGAACTCATCAGCATTAGACACTCCCTGCGGCTAAGCACCTCTCCAAATGCACTTATTTAACGCGGGATGAAAATAGAAACCTGATGATCTCCCACAGAAAAGCTCTCATCTTCTGTTTCACTTACCTCTTCTTTCACCCTGGTGCCTGCGCATGCCAAGATGGCTGCAGGGTTGGCAGCAGCTTTGTTTTGATCCTGTTGCGTTCACAACTGGGTAACCTCCGCAGCGGTCAGCCTTAATTCAGCTGCTCTTGGAAGGGTGTAAGTCACCACGAGAGGCAGTTGCCACACACAGCTCTGTTAGAAGCTCAGCATGGGGTTGGTATCTCTACACAAATACTGCTTCAGGGTACTGCTGATGCGGTGCTAGATACTGTAGATCTTCTTTCCCTTTTGGAGGCTTCTCAAAACTGCATGTTGAGTGTAGCACAGACCCTAGGAAAAAATTTTCTGGACCATAAGCCATTTGGGAGAAAAAGACATGTTGCGAATGCCTCCATGCAAGCCCTGCAGCTCTGTCCAGTGGGGTCTGTCTGTCCATCTATCCCTGCTTCCTCTCCAGGGAAGGGGGAGAGCCTGACCTCAGCCTGGATCCCTGTTAGCTGGCCACTGCCTAACTGGCCAATGCAGACATCCTCCGTGGAGCTTACAGGGGTGGAGGGTCCTGATGCCTTTGGATGTGGGGATCCGGGACAGTGAGGGGTGCAGCTCACCTGCCTCAGGTGAGCAGATGGACACACATGGGCAGAGCCAGGAAGTGGGAGGGAAGCGCGATCATGTCTCATCTCAGCAAACCAAGTGTCCCGAGTGACTTCGTTCTTCCCTCCGCAGCCTGCCTGGCCACCTTGTGCCTCGACGGATCGGGACCGCTGGCCTCGCTGGCCGCCTGCGACAGCTCCACGCTGCTTTGTGCCAGTTTTAACTCAGGAATTCACGTACTCCAGCTGAGTGACTGTGCAGACCTGGCGCTGGCAGAGGTGGCAGTGTTTTGACCACAGTAACCTTTCCAGCAGAGACTGCCCTGCGAGGGGATGGGATTCACCGAGAGCCTCCCCTGACTGCAAGCACCAGAAGACCTTGCACCTGTGGAGCCGTGATGTGTGATCAGTGGGGCAGGGGGATGTATTGGTTTCAGTTTGGGGGTTGGTGCAGGAAGGCACTAGACCTGTCTAGAAGAAAAGCCAAATCATGGATGCATTCAGGCCCAGTTCTCACACCTGAGCAAGCCTCATGCATTTAATTTACAAGACCTCCATGCAGGCTAGCTGCACATGATGGGGGCTAAGGGAACAGGAGATGAGCTGAGAAGCTAAGGAACAGCACTGAAGGGTGCCAGGGCACAGGGCAGGGAATGCTTGGCCTCCTTCCCCTTGCTCCAGTTGAGTGGAGCTGAAGACGGTGTGACAGAAACACTGCACTGGGATTTATATCCCAGGAACAATGTGAGTGTAAACACAGAACATTCACTGCTGTCTAAAATTTCATCCCAAGCCAACTGGAAAGGTGGGAGCCTGCTGGGTGACTGCTGGGACAGGATTGTCCCATGAATGGCAACCTGATGAGAAACACCCAGGGGGAGGGTTGTCGTGGCTGCAGGGCTGGGAGCCCCCTGCACCGCTGCCAGGCTCAGACAGTCCCTTTAGCTGACACTTTATGAGATGCTTAAGAACCAGCTTGAGCACACATAGCTGGGTACCTCTAGGCTTATACAAGAGACTGCAATTAAATATTTTTCTGTTAGTTGCTGGCCTCTCATCCCATAGGATTTTCCCTGGGAGTAAATAAGAGCTAGCACCCAGCATGTAGCATATGCCACCACACTACTTGGAAAGGAGGAGAAAGCCCACAACACTCTGCTAGAAGTAACTTGTGAGTGGGTTTTTTTTTGTTTTTCTTAAACACGATCTCCAACTGCACTGCAAGCGTTCAGAACAGAATTGTGTTCACTCCCAAGGAGCACAGACAGCTGCTCTCCAGCTGGCAACAGGGAAAGGAATGGGTCTTCTCTTTTCTCCTGAAGGTTTTTTACGATAGCAGACAGAAATCAAACTATGTTGTGAAATATCTGTAATTTCTCCATTCCTTAGTCAGACCCAGGGGCTAGTGTGCACATTCAGAACATGTTTTGATTTTCCAGAACACAAAAATTGCAAAACCTCAATTTAAAGAATAAACAACAAATAAGAAAGCTCCCCACAGTGTAAGTTAGAACAAGACAATCCTACACTGAAATAGCCTTCTTCATATTATCCCAGGTGACACACAGCAAAAACTCAACCAGGAGATGCCTACATGGATTTGAAACACCTGGTTCACAAGATCACAAGACCTAGCTCAATGAGCTAGGACATGAAAAGGTACATGGAAAAGAAAAATTTCTCTGGCCTTCAACATCTACTGTGAGTGAATACAAAGGGGATGCTGACCTCCACATTCAGAAACTACCTTTGCAGAGGCCGGGGAAGCAGGGTACCATGTTCCTCTAACTCTGACAGCTAGTTATTCTTTCTTTAAATGCAAATCAAATTTGAAGCCACAGACTCCTGCCAAGGGATCCTGGAAAATGGAAGGTAAGAAGGGTATTGACAGAGGCTAAACACCACACCAAAGACGAGGTGTTGTGTGGCTACCTACAAGTGTTTGAAAAAGACTGGAGAAAATCTGGGAGCCTAACTTGGAAGGGAAGGTGAATGCAGATGGATCATCTCCAAATTACAGCAGACAGCAGTATCTGCAGTATAAAAACAGTCCTAAGAAGTGGAAAAACATCACCCAAGATTTGACTCCAGCTAAGCCCTGGCAAACTCAGGTGCTTCAAAACCACCTCAACCCAAGACCAGCCAGTGACTACAGCTGCCATAATGCCTGTTGCAGTAGCCGATTCCTTTTTTTTCTTTAATATAAAAAAAGCAAGTCTTAGTTCAAAGCCATTAACGTCTCTGTTCCAGTTCATCGGCAGCACCTCTGAGCTACTCCGCTGTCCACAACTTGAAGGTTCTGTCATAGGAGCAGGTCGCTATCAGCTGGCCGTCAAGGGAGATATCCAGTCCCATCACCTTTCCCTCGTGACCAGCCAGCGTTTTCAAAGGGGACCAGCCGGGGTGAGTCCAGATCTTTGCAGTGTTGTCGTAAGCGCCCGTGAGCAGGAAGTTACCATGATTGGCTGCAGTAGAGGATGAGGAAAAAAAGGGAGAAGCGAGATTTGCAAATAAAACCATGACAGATCTTCTACCGCTAACTAGTACAGGCCTTCTTGACCTGAAGATGTGTTTTTGAGTTGCTCCATCCCCTGCCACCTCAGCTCAGGAGAGGCAGGGACAAGGAACATCAGATAGAAGGTACTTACGTTCAAATTTCACCCCGGTCACCAGGTTCTGATGGGCTGGAATGGTGTAGATGCACTTCCTCTGGCGGAGGTCCCATACCTTGCAAGTATTGTCACCACTGCCAGTTGCAACATGGTATCTGCCCAAGGGTGGAGGAAGAACATGTTGTGGGGAGCTGGAGTTTGTACTGAGCTCCCACATAAAGCATGCAAGTTATTTTCTTACCCGTTTGGGGAGAAGTTAACCCCGTAGATCTCCTTCAGGTGGCCTTCTAGAAACATGATACAGCGTCCCGTGCGCAAGTCCCACACCCGGCCAAAAGCATCCAGTCCACTAGGAAGAGAGAACCCAAGCAATACCCATCAAAGGCTTCAGCAACTGCCAGAGTACGCTCAGCCTCACCAGCAGAAATCACTGGGGCACTTGGCATCAGTCAGCAACAAAACCTTGATACCATTTCACATCCAGTCCTGATGCAAAGCAAACTCACCCAGTCCCAGCGAGAGACCCATCCGTGTGAAAGGCAATGTCATAGACCCCTTTGCTGTGCCCCTCCTGATGGAGAATCTCTTCCTGAGCTTCCAAGTCCCACAAGCGCCATGAGTGATCATAGCTGTAAAAACAAAGTATTTGTCCAACTAAATGTATCTCCAAGGAGAATAACAGGATATTTCACTAACTCTGTGGGCATTTTATTTCCAGCTGGAGACCAATAGGGTCTCACATGACGGGCAGAGAAAGGAATCCCAATGACTAGCTGTTATTTACATTGCAACAGCCCAGCTGTTGTCAAGAATCATAGAATGGTTTGGGTTGGAAGGGACCTTAAAAGATCATGTAGTTCCAACCTCCCTGCCGTGGGCAGGGACACCTTCCACTAGACCAGGTTGCTCAAAGCCCCATCCAACCTGGCCTTGAACACTTCCAGGTATGGGGCATCCACAACTTCTCTGGGCAACCTGTTCTGGTGCCTTACCACCTTCACAGTGAAGATTTTTTTTCCTAATATCTGATTTAAATTCACCCAATCTATATCTACCCTCTTGCAGTTTAAAACTGTTACCCCTCATCCTATCACTACACTCCCTGTTAAAGAGTGCCTCCCCATCTTTCCTGTAGGCCCCTTTAGGTACTGGAAGGCTGCTATAAGGTCTCCCTGGAGCCTTCTCTTCTCCAGGCTGAACAACCCCAACTCTCTCAGCCTGTCTTCATAGGAGAGGTGTTCCAGCTCTCTGATCACTTTTGTGGCCCTCCTCTGGACTCACTCCAACAGGTCCATGTCCTTCTTATATTCGGGGCCCCAGATCTGAATGCAGTACTCTAGGTGGGGTCTCACCAGAGGGTAGTAGAGGGAGAATCACCTCCCTCGACCTGCTGGTCATGCTTCTTTTGACACAGTCCAGAATGTGATTAGCCTTCTGGGCTGCGAGTGCACATTGCTGGCTCATATTCAGTTTTTCATCCACTAACATCTCCAAGTCCTTCTCCACAGGGCTGCTCTCAACCCACTCATCACCCAGCCTGTATTTGTGCTTGAGGCCAATGCTTGCCTGCACTGGGCTCCTCTCTGGACAAGTAATGGTACCCACTGGGCTACCAGCTAGACAGCTAATGGTAATATCTTAAAGTAAATAACTACATCTCCATACCAGGTAGTACCCAGGAACCTCCCAGACGGGTGCCACATTACACGTGCCACTCTCATGCTGTGTCCTTCAATATCTGCCACTGGTTCATCACTGAAAAACAGAAACAAAAATCATCAGACACTGGTCAGAGGTGGCTGGCTCTCGCTGGGCCTTTACAAACATTATGATCACAGCAAAAGATCTGCTAATTAAATGCAAGCCAGACAGGAACATCAGAGTTTTAACTAATGACTCTGAATTCTGCCTTTTGTTCACACAAAAGGGCTAAAGCCCCAGGTGAAACCCCTTTCTCCACACTCATGTTGGTTATAAAGTTCTCTTGGAATAATAATAATTATTATTATTATTCCTGAAAATTAACAAGGCCCTTGTCATTAGCACTTTGAAAGCACAGAAAGAAAACTACCTGAATTGCAGGGAGTTTTACTGTGACTACACAGAACACATCCTGAACTACAGCAAATCCTGCTATTCTGAAGAACTGCAAGGAGGCAGGATAGAGTGAGTATTTATTCTCCCAGAATTACAGGCAGCAGATCAGTAGCCTTCAGCAGAAGACCTGAACAGCATTTAGTTTCTTTCCAACTGGCTAACTAAAGGATGTGGTCACATGAGACCAATAAGCAACCTGTCCCTTTGCACAGATATGCTTCTGCAATTAGAAACAGTGACTTTCAGCTAAGGATAAACAACTGTGGATCTCAGAGCTGCCTGCCTCTTCCTGAGGTGCACTGCAGGGCTCCAGTTTTCAAACACAGCCGATGCTAGGGCTTGGTATTTACACTGTTCTCTTCTTCACAAGCTTGAGATAGATGCTGTGCATCTTCCAAAACTACACTGTGCAATGACAGAGCCACTTGTTTTTATTACAGGCTGAAGCTTTTGTGCATGGTCACGTATATGGTTAGCCCCTCTCCAAATACTGGTGCTTTCCAATAACTCAAAAGTTCATTTCTTAATATCCAAGAGGGGAAATTTTCCCCTAAATGAAAGGTTAGAATAAAACAATCTCCAAATCTTCCATCCATCACCCAAAGCAGTTGACCAATGCCTAGCAGCAATTCTGACTTAACTCTTTTCAGACAATTTCCCCTCACCTTCATTCCCCTAATCAGGGTGATCTCTTTTCCTGCTGAAGAAGGTGGCACATACTGAGGCCAGGAATTGCACTGGTATAACTACAAGAAAAGGTTATATTTGCAGGAGGATGGTAAATGTCCAATGTTTAGTAACACAAAATAAATCCCAAAACAACAATGCTGCAGCTGTGCATGTCTGGTATCATTCT